GACCTAACTCCACACCAGAGAGATGACATAAGAGTTGCAGGATCGGTCCCTGCAGGGCCTAATCCTGAACAGGCACCGATCAAGCATTGCCCACTCAAGTCAAGGGGAGTGATGGTGCTTAGGAAGCTCACGCACAAATGCCTCTCATCCCCAGGCCTGATTCCATAGTGCAGCCTTCCCCAGTCATTCCACATTCCCTGCCCTGATCTGGTGGAAAAGCCCTGCCGGCTTTCTCACCATACAACAGCCTCCCTCCTCCTCCACTCCTGTCTGAAGAAACCCTCCTGGTCAATCTCATCCACACCATTCCCCCCCTTAGATAAACTTCCTTTTAAAGGAGTCTGCTTAATCCTCTATCTCCCCTCCTTCAGATCCTCCTTCTGCTGCTGAGCAGGGGCAAGCCGGGAAGGAGGGGGCGGGGAGAGGCTGCTGACCCAGGGAGCTATTCCTGACTCATAGCCTAACTTTCACAAGTGCTTTTGCAACACAAAGGGGAGGGGGGGAGGGAGGACACAAAGCCAGCCAAAGGGATGGACAGACAGCAGCAAAAGGGAGGGGTGGGACGGAGGAAGAGAGTGCAAGAGAGAAAGCAGATCCCAAAGGACTGAGGGTGAAAGGGAAGATAAACAGGCGGTGACAGAATGAGAAACACATCAGCGGAGAAGAAACAGGAGGGAAAACAGAATGTGAAAGAGAGAAATGGAGAAATAGATACACACACACATACACACACAGACGCACACACGTAACCGGAATCTGACTTCACTCTTACTGTCTTTGTTCTTTCAAGATATTTTCCATCCAATGACTGCATTTCCTTCCTGAAAACACTATTGGAAAAAGCTGCCTGCTTGTGTGAGAGAAGCCCGGACTAATTATTGCTGTTAATACAGCAGCTGTGATTTCCCCTCACCCCTTCCCTCTTCACTTTCAAACCCATTAAAGACAGGCGGCGGCAGGTCGGCTATCCCGGCAGGGGGTCTGCGTCTCTGAGGCAGGTGGGACGAAAACAGAGACCTGTTTCAAAGTGGCTCTGGACTCCATCCCATCCTGTGGAGGGAGGGAGGGTTTGAGGGGTTTCAAGCCTGCAGTCCTTAGAGACGGGAAAGACCCGGACCTGCCATGCTGGGATTTCCTTCCCCAGGGCTTTGTCCCATGTAGACTGTTTCGAAGCGGGGCGTCCACTGCTCCTGCGGAGAGGCTATTCAACCCCACAACACGCTACAGGCCACAGCACCCGGAGGACAACGGGATGGAAACGATCCATCTTGGCAGACTTTGCCAAGCCCTGCCCAGAGAGCCATGTGAGGGGAGAGAAGGCACGAGCTGGGGCAGACACCAAGCGCATTCAAACTGAGGGTATCAGGTTTGCCAAGCAAGGACGAGGGAGATGGCGTAGCTGCTCAGAGACACCCTCTCCCCCAGCCCCAGCGAGAAGGCAGTTGGTGGGTGTAGAGCCAAGGGAAGGCGAGAATGAGACAGACCTGACAGAGAGCGAGGGATGGGAGGCAACTGTACAGCTTGCCAGCAGGAAGGAAAATAATAATATATATATATATATATATATATATATATATATATATATATATATATATATATATATATATATATATATATATATATATATATATATATATATATATATATATATATATATATAAATGAGAGAGAGAGAGTGTGTGTGTGTGTGTGTCTGTGTCTGTGTGTGCGTAAGTAATCCCTGTTGCATCCCACGAGCCCGGGGGTGGAGGGGGTGCGGCAAATAGCAACAAAACTGTGCCGGCCTTCTCACCCTCTGGGGACATGTCTACACTAGGAAACTACTTTGAAATAACTAAAATCAGTTTAATAGCTTCAGAAATAAAAACATCGAAATGGCCTGTCCACACTACGGGGAAGCCTCGAACTGAGTCCGAGGCACGTACCATTAAGCGTGGACGTGCTGCCCTGACATACAGCCCCAGGAAGCACCAGGGAATAATTAGTTCGAATGACTCTGGGGAGTCGTTATTGCGAAATAGCGGCACCAGAGCGTCCGCACGACCGCTATTTCGAAATTAGCATTATTCCCTGAGGAAAGCGGGGGTACAGGTGTCAAAATAACCAGCCCAAAATGTCCAAATGACGGGCTTGGTCGTGTGGACGCTCCGCTTATAAATTCGACCAAGGGAGGTTATTTTGAAATAACTCCCTAGTATAGACCAGGGCTGTGGCAGCGAGAGGAGCAGAAACTGACCTTCCATTCCCTTCCTGCCCTGGGTTCCCTACCTCCAGCAGGGTTCCACGCAGGCCAGCCAGCTTTAGGAAGGACCTCGAGCTCCAGAGAACGCGTGCTAATTACTTTCCTTTGTTAATTAAACCCAGAGGCTCTAATAAGGTAACCTGCTGTTCGCCGATAAATTTAATTAGCCTGAAGGGAGAGCTCTTCCCACACAGCTATTTAAATGGTCACTTCTCATTCGCTTGGGCCTTGCTTCTCTTTTCTTCACCCCACTCCTCCCATTTTGGGGAGGCAGGCCCCTTTTCTTGCTCCCCTTTGTGGGAGGAACCTTCTGGAGCTGGACTGAGGTTACCTGTCAACAGGCTGGCAGGGAAGGAAACTGCCTGTGAAAAAGGTGAGGGAGGTGAAACTAGGAACATGGGCACCTCCCCTTCCCCCATACTGATTGAGAGGGGCCTTTCCCCTCTCTTCCTTATCGCAATTTTACTCCTCCTGCCAGCCATCCTCTCAGGCAGCACCAAGTCTCCCCTACCCCCGATAGTGCCCTGTCAATGCCAATGTAAACCACCCTGGGATGCATTTCCCTTTATTGGGTGGCCCATGTAAGAGGATAAAGACCTACTACTGCAACCATCTCATGAGCCATGCTTTCGGTGCTGCATGTCCCAAGTTCAAACCCCACGGCCACTACTCCCCCCTAGCAGGGCCAGGGATCCCAGCAAGCGGGCAGTACCCTGCCACGGGCAGTGGTACCTCTTGGGAGAAGCCTGGGTGTCACCTTTCCCCCACAGAGACACGGGCACTAGCTGTCCTAGCACCTCGCCCCAGCAGATGGCCCAGAGAATGCTTTGCCAGGGACACGCCTCACTGGGCAGGATGTCACAGACCTGGGAGAGGAACTCCGCTCCCTCCTCCTGGCAGTACAAGCCAAACCTGCCCTGCTCCCAATGGGCTTGAGCATCCTACAGGTGTCTGCTTCCCTCGGCTGCTACATCCAAGCCGGGTCCAGGCAGCTACAGAGCAACTGGGCCACTTGGTGGGGGGAAGGGGAGGGTCTCTGCATGCTCCCTTGTGTTTGAGAGTCAACTGAGTGCTCAGGAAAACAAGGGATGAACGCCTGAGCCAGGGGAGTGAAGGCAGCTGCTGATCCCTCGCTCCCCTCATTCCAGACCCACAGCCAAGCCTGCCTACGGGAAGAGGGCAAGGGAGGTAACTGCTCTGGGACACGGCGATTCAAGGGGGCACCGGAGCATCATTCTGGGCGCTCCACTTGGCCCTGAGGGAAGGGGGGCATGCTCCGGTGTGGGCAGCACTGAGGGCTGGCTGTCCCCCCAGTCCTTCCGGCCAAGGCTCTGCACCTTCTGTGGGCATAGAGCTGATGCCCCGCTCCCCCATCTGGCCGCAGGGCTATGGTGGCTGCCGGCCCCCCGGCCCACAGCACCCCCACCTCATGCTCGGCATTGCAAATCTGGGCTTGCATCGACCCAGCCACCCGTTCCCTTGTGGCCAAGATGCACAGAGGGTGCAGGCAGCTGGGGCCTTGCAGAAGTCCTCCAAATGTAACTCCTCTTATGACCTGAGCCAGAGGTGAACGGTTAGGTCATTATCCCCATCTGAATCTTTAACTCCCACTCACCTCAGCTAACTCCTGGACACTTGGCCTCCACCCTGGGTTAGACTATAAAATAAAAGCTGTACCTGCCCCCCCTCCTACAGCCTGATGTAAGATAGCTACCTAGCCCTACGACCGTATCCTTCCATATGACTCCATGACATATGCATACCCCTGTTGCTCTCACACAGCCCCAAATCTCCCACATATACTAATATTACACACACACCTTGCTCCTAACAAACCCCTCCCCCTTGCACACATGGCTCATTAACATACACCTACTAGAAAACAACCTCCCCCCACCAGAACCCAGCTTCTGTCAGCTCCCCCGCAGCCATAGCAGAGCTTCTCCTGGAGTGAAATGAAGAAATCCCAAGTTAGGTGGATTTGCAATTGCTGTCCTAATCCTCCACCCTAAGCACTTGTCTGGCTTCAGCAGCCCAAACCAGAGAACTCCTGACATTTAACCTGTATCAAAATATGAGGGACATCCTTCCCCCACTGCCTTCTCTCATGGTGAAACCCAAGGATATGGACAGGGACTCGACAGAGTTGTCAAAAAATATTCAGGAGTTGCAATGGAGTTCAAGGTCCTTTACATAAGTGTTTTTAAGCCCTGGTATCTATGACAGTGAATGTGCAAACCACATTCCCTGGGGGGGAATGCCCCTATCAAAAGCACCTACAGTGATTCAGGAATACAATCCCACTGCAAGTCTTTAACTCTCCCAGAGGCAGTCTTGGGAGGCCCACCCATGGCACAGAAATGAATGCCTGGAGGTTGGCCCCAACTGCAGTGGCGTTCTCCTCTTTCGGCTACAGGTTAAACCTCTCCAGTCCAGAACTTTCTGGTCCAGAAATATCTGTTGTCCGGCATGATTTTAGTTGCTGGATGACCACTTTGCATAGGTGTGGCCAAGTTTCCCGCAGCCCCATAAAGTTTGTTTACAACTACAAGTCCGGGCTCTCACTGTTCAGTGCGGTTCTTTAGCTCTAATTTAACCCTAACTGTCCTCTAACAGCCCAGTAAGCAGGAGATGTGTGGATCATGCTGCTAGACAACATTGACCTCCCGTCATCCTGAAAATTCTATGGTTTGGCACCGGTCAGGTTCCAAAAGTGCCAGACTAGAGAGGTTCAGTCTTTAATAGCTTTCTGTCTCACCTGGACTGCTGGCTGCTTGTTCTCATTGTTGCTGGGAGAGGTCAGCCCTGTGGCCTGCTGCAGAAGGAACTGTCTTGCCACCTGGAGAGCCTGAAAAAACAAAACCAAACCAAAAGATAGAGTGGGGTAGTGGATAGTTATTGTCTCTTTTCCAGCTCAGCTCCTTCTCCTTGTGCCTGATATGCCTGTGTGCATGCTCACTATCTAGACACCATCCAACGGGAGCCAGATCTACTGACTGGTACTGCCAGCAGGACAAAGCAGTCTCAGGAAGCACTGCAAGCATATCTACGCTGCAATCGGACAGTTGTGCCAGCTGTTTCAGGCGCTCAGGGCTTGCATGAAGGGGCGGTTTAATTATGGTGTAGATCATAGGGCTCTAGCTTGGGCTCTAACATCCTCCCAACCCCGCAGAGTCTGCCAGGCCAGCCTGACCTTGCCTGCATGCACTGCAACTAAACAGCCCCTTCGCCAGAACCCGAGTCCACGGGCACAGGCCAGCTGTGAGGTTTTAACTGCAGCGTAGACATATCTTTAAGAGTAAGTGGACAAGAGAGCCAGGGGATAATGCGAGGAATAGTACCCACAGAAAGCAGCTCATTTGCTAGAACTAGCTTCCTCCACTTGCTTTAGGAGGAAGACAGCTTTGTAGTTAAGCTATCGGACTGGGACCCAGGAGAGGCAGGTTCTGTTCTCAGCTGCAGCAGAGATTCTCTCTTTGCCTGCCGGATTCAGTTCCCCATCTGTATAATGGGGAAGCGAATGTTTGCCTACCTTGCAGGGGTGTGAGGACGCTAAATCCATTCACAGCCAGCTGCCTGGAGGGGGGAAGCGGGTGAGTGTCAGAGTAGTTGACCTAATAAAGAGCAGGATTTCACCCCACATGAATAACCGGTGGAAAAAAATGTGGACATTCTGCAGAGAATTTCCAGCAATGCAGGAGAGAAGTTTACTGGAGCTTACTAGCGATCCCACAGGAATCTGTTTCTTTTATGGGTGTCTGCTCAGAAAGCGTTCCTACTTTCCTGGCCATTCAGGGATGTGTTTTGCAATAATATTTATTAAACCACTGGCATCAACGAAAAAATGAAACACTTCACTGGCATGAAAGAAAAGCCCAAGTCGGTCAGATTGCCAGTCAGGACTGAGAGTGCAAGTGGGGGGAAAAGGGGTGGGAGGGAGAGACGAGCGCAAGCCCGATCAAGCAACCATACTGGGGCACGAGGAAGAGAGCAACAGCGAGATGGTGTGGGAGAGCACAAGGAATGCACAAGTGAAAGCACGTGTGCAAACAAGCCAATGTGTGCACAAGAGCTGGTGAAAGGCTGCCAGCGTGTGAAAGAACCAGAGAGGCCAGAAAAGCATGGGACAGAGAGGTTTCCTTCAGGAGCTGAGAGCAAGCAAAGAGAAGGGAATAAATGCTAACACAAACAATCCTATGGTACTCCAGGCTGCTGCTCCCAGGTCCGTTTCCTCATGTTCCTTATTTTTGCTTTTAAAGATTTTTTTTTGGGGGGGGGGGGGGGGAAGGGGGAAGGCACCTTTCTGAACAGCAAAGTTTTTATTTTTAAAAAATACAATGTTATTTTTATTAAGTTAATTTTTATTTTGGATTTCTTAAAAAGAAGGGATGGTTAAAATTTTTCAATTTTTTTTTTTTTTAGTACTTTTTATGGGAATTCCATCAAGTGTATTTTTTTATTCATCCTTTCCTGCCTGCAAGACAGGTTTTTATTACAGCACAGAGACAGGAGGGGGGAGTAGAGAGGGAGAGGTCGGAGGGTCATAGCCCAGCTTGGCGGTGCTGCAAACAGCATGTGGGTTCCAGTGAGCTGTCAACGCCACGGCCGTAAATCAAGGCTCTGGCTTCCAAGAGGCGGCTGTGCACTCCTAGGCCGCGGAGGCACTTTTCCTGCCTGCAAGACAGGTTTTTATTACAGCACAGAGACAGGAGGGGGGAGTAGAGAGGGAGAGGTCGGAGGGTCATAGCCCAGCTTGGCGGTGCTGCAAACAGCATGTGGGTTCCAGTGAGCTGTCAACGCCACGGCCGTAAATCAAGGCTCTGGCTTCCAAGAGGCGGCTGTGCACTCCTAGGCCGCGGAGGCACTTGCAGGGTGTGTCCCAAAGAAAGAGCCGCTTGTTAATTTTCCACATTTCCAGCTATAAAGAACAAAGTTACTTTCCGTCAGGCATGTATACATTCTATACTGTACCGTACACCCTGTACGGAGGGGCAGCTGAATTTGCACATAAGAGCGGAGAGATGAGCAGGCTCACTTGCAGATGCCCCTAGTAATTCTGTATGCAAATGAAAGTGGGGAGGGCACATAATACACTCACAAACTAATTACACATACCCAGTGTTGTTAATGAAGATGCCATTTCAATGCAATCCGTGTTGTGTGCACATTACGCGTGACACAAACAGATCAGGTTGTCTATCTCATATGCAGCATACACACAATACAATTATCAGAGGGGTAGCTGTGTTAGTCTGTATCCACAAAAACAACAGGCAGTCCCTGTGGCACCCTAAAGACCAATACATTTATCTGGGAGTAAAGCTTTCGTGGGTAAACCCCCACTTCATCGTATCTGATGAAGTGGGGTTTTGCCCATGAAAAGTTATGCCCTTATAAATGTGTAAATCTTTAGGTGTCACAGGACTCCTCATTGTTATTACAGTATAATTATATATTCACACACCATCTGCATAATTATCTATTTACTTTATCTGGTGTTGACCACACAGGCACAAAGACGCAAACAGCCCCTCTCAAACAGCCATCCAATGGACCATCCAAAAAGATTAGCTGGCTATTGTTCAAACCCCGGGTCTAATTTAAGTCTTGTCTACGCTGGGAAGATATTCTGCTGTAAGGCAGCATGTGATTTCAAAGTCCGTTCGTTATTCTGAATTAGCTCACTGTGTGCACGCTCTTATTTCCAGAACATCAGCACTTTTTTCAGTTTAGCTTAATCCACTTTCAAAGCAATATCTAGTCCAGTCAAATTCCACATGTAGACAAACTAAAATGTAAGAGACACATGTTGAGATTTTTTTCAAAGCAGCCACTGAAGCCGGGGGTGGGGGACTTGGTCCTTACTGCAAGCTTTAATTCGAACTACCTAGTCCGTGCTGCATGTAGCTGTGGGCAGGTAGTTCCAACTACGGGGCATTTAAAAATGGCGGCGCCCGGGAACATGCAAATGAAGCCCAGGATATTTAAATCCCGGGCTTCATTTGCAAGTTCGAATGCCTACATTAGCCACCCTAGTTCGAACTAGAGTGGCAGTGTAGACATACCCTATGAAACTGATCTAGGTCAAAAGTCCATGATCTTCAAAACACATGGAGGGGGAGGTTAAAATTAGTCTCTTAGGAGGATATTTAAGCACCTTAAGTAAATCCACTGGTACTGGTGGATTCCCAGTTGTAACCCACACATCTACTGGGAGTTTCTCACTGTCCCATGTAGTGGCACTGAGACCACTTACAGAGAAGAAGAGTGAGTTTGCTCTACAGCCTTAACTAGCGGGCTTTTAGCCCAAGCTGTAGAGCAGTGGTCCCCAACACGGCGCTCGCCGGGGCATTTGTGTGCGCCCACTGACAACCTGGGCTGGCCCCGCCCACGGGGCAGGGGAGGCGCCGGCCCCAGGCGCACGACACGCACCGGCGCCGGGTGCGCGGCGCTCGGGCGGCCCCAGCCCTGGGGCACATGCAGGCG